ACTCTGATTTGTAAACGAATGCAAACAAAATGCCCAGACCACCTTGGCGAAAGACTCTGCCAAGCTCTTTAGTATGGGAGGAGCTGCTGCAACTTGAGTTTTTGATGCAGCAGGTGCCCAACGCATCTTTTGGCTCTCATAGTAGAGCTTGGCATGTTTCATCTTTAAGTGGTGGAAGAGGTTGCTGATGTCTCCACCTCCAGCAACGACAGCCACACGACACTCTTTGCATAGTATTGTTTTTTGATCATTGTCGGATTTTCTGAATCCGAAGCATCTCCAGACAACCAATGTTGCGGACTGTGGCCTTTTTCAGAACGAGTTCCTCCTCCTCTTCCTCATTTTGGGTGGGTCGGGCTGCCTCCATTTGCTCGATACTGCCACTAATCTCCATGTCCACCACGATCACCACCAGTGAAGCTGTTTCTTCTTCGTCTAAACTATGCCAAGCAGTCTTCTGGACATGCTGGTGATTATAGGGAGCGTACCAAAACCGGACCAATCAAACCAAGCGAACAAACTCTGCAAGACACGCTGGTGAATATGCGGAAACACACCCAAACGGATGCGCTCCGGCTTTCATGTTAGCGAGATGCAGCAGACATTTGCTCTCTCTCTCCGGTATAAACGGAATAGCAAAATTTCTACCAGTGGTAGACACTTTTATACCGTCACACAATATATACCATCATACCGCCCAACACTAATACTTCTACACCTTCTTCTCATGCATCCAACCCTATAATCACTTTCACTCATGCATACAGTCAACTAAAATAAAAAAAAATCCATATGTGCATTCCCTCAAATTCATGCCATATTGAAGTAAGAGGGTTATCATCCTGGATGCACTTCTCTCCTTGCTGTTTTTGAATTTTGGCCAAACTTATATTCATTTGCAGCGGTCTGCCATGACCCTCCTCTCTTGTTTATATACTGCATCACATGGGATACAATGTCAAACTGGCACAACAGATTCTGGCAGATACTGACAGTAAAATTTCACCGAATATGTGAATTTAGTGATTTTAGTAATATTGCAAGTTGGAACGGGTTCAACCAGGGAGAGGACACTGAGGTGGTCCAAGAATCTCTTGTAGGAATTATACCTGTATATTCTGTCAAGCCTGAGAATGGATGCATGGATGGATGGATAGATGGATGATGCCTGTTGCAGTAAAAGCGAGATGAGGTCTTGTATTAAAGTGAACAAAAGCGTGTGCTATTAAATTATTGGGGAAATGTTTAACACCATTGCTGGAAATGTGCACCATTTGTAAATTACCTTTTTGAAACAGGTTGTCTTGTCTCAGTTAAACGCTATGGTTGCATTATTTTCAGTTATCAGCAGCAGGATGATGAAAGCTTCCACCCTCTCTCCTTAAAAAACAAGAGGGGAAAAAACGATTTAGATTTAGAGATGCACACTCTATTTGAAGACTTTAAAAAGCTGAAACTTTTAGACGAGAAAAATGGTTTGAAAGAAGTTACAGTGTCAGTCTTGTAACTGTAGTTGAGTCCTGTGTCAAGCAGAAATAAATACAAGAGGAGATGGGAGCATCAGAAGAGCAGAGTGTTAAAAAATAAAGTGCATGAAAGACTGGATAAGGAGAGAGTAACCTTTAAACTGAACAAATGTGTTCACAGCAGAGAATAAAGCCGGCCTCATGTGGAGATGCACTTATTTGGAAGAGTATATTGGTGAAATGAACCTTTATTAAAGAGCAATATTCTCCATATACCACCTGCCAGTCTCATAATGAGAGAGGATTCAAATGAGAGAGGCTCCTTTCTTCAAGAGCAGCCCCTTCTTTTCATCCGCAGAGCACAAAGATGGAGAAGAATAACGTACAGCACAAAGAGGACGTTTTTCACAGCGTCACGTCTTTACAAGGCCGAATATTCTGCAGCAATAATCATATTTAACACAAGAGCGGGCGTCCTGTCTGTGAAAGAAATGAAAAACACAGAGATGAGCAGGTCAGAGGATTCATCAGGTGCTGAAATTATTATGAACTTACCTGAGCTCAGTCATTACAGCAGGTTTTATACATACAGTATAATATGTCTTTGTTGGCTTTATCAAAACCTGAGCATGCGGTCTGAGCAGCAGAGGATAAACTGCATCGCACATATCTCCCTCCTGCAGAGTACAGCACAATGAGCAGACTTAAGAGCAGATAAAGGGTCCATAAAAACAGCAGAGAGGTGAGAGACAAAGTGAGAAATGTGTGTTAACCCCCCCTCAGTGCTCAGAGAGATTTAACCTCAGCGAAGGAAACCAGGCTGCTGCTCATCAAAACCAATCCCTGAAGTGAACTCATCTTCATATTAAGAGGCTGCAGAAAGTCAAATCCTGGAGCAGCGTGTTTTAAGGAATTGTTTGTTCTTTTTTAATATGCACAGAGTACAGTAACAATATGAGTAAGAATCATTTTAATCATGTGCTGAAAGCTCTTAGAATATGAAAGAACAATCTGACAGAGTGGACACCCCCTGATACCCCAAATCATTAAGAAATGAAATCCACCAGTCTGAATCCTTTCATGAATTAAAAAGATGCTCTATTTATGGAGGAAACTTCCTCTTCTTAAAGCACATTAAATTAAGAAAATTACTTTCCTGTATAGACTGTCCCATTAATAACTACTGATGTGTTTGTCCAAAATAATCTGCCATGTGGCTACACATTATTAGAGTCATTGTATTTTGATTTTCTCGTGAAAAGTGTGTTTCCTAGATCAATTTAAAATTCAGAGATGTCTAACTTCCAAAAAGACGTGTATTTATTCACAACCTCAGTTTTTTAGGGCTCCATTACCGTGGATCACTGCATTATTTTGTGGCATGGCATGGAGGCTATCAGCCTGAAGCTATGTTGTGGTGTTACTTAAGCCCAGGTTGGTTTGATAGCGGCTTTCAGCTCATCTGAATTTTTGGGGTGAATCTCATCTACCTTTTGGCAAATATCCCACAGATTCTTGGGGTTCAGGTCACACTGGATAAATTGCCAATCAAGTCATGGTCAGAGAACTATTCAGTAGCAGTTTTGGCACTGGAGCTGCAAAAGGAAACATATTCAGGTTCTTTAATTTATGATGATGAATATTTGAAAGCAGGAATTCTCAGTTGTTAAGATGCACCTTTAATTAGAGCCACGGAGCGAACAGACCAAGGCACTATTCCCTCTTCTGTACAAATTTTGATTTGCTACTAGTCCTACAGTAGAGTGTAGGACAAAGTATGTATGTATATATATATACTATATACTTTTCTACAGTAAGACCTCATCGTTTTCACCGCCTCATCGTGCGACGCGTCTATCATCATAGGCAACCAGCTCAACCTGTGAGCTTCAGGCCAGGCCTACAGCTGATACTAATTGACCAATCAGGGACTGCTCTGACATCAGTGCATCAATGAATCACTTTTAGAGCAACTTGATTAACAATAACACATTAAGTATCTGTAAGTATATGTCTAAGTTCAAGTTCAAGTTTTACTAATTGTGGATCCAAAATAAATCAAATCAAATAAAACTGACTCGTAATCAAAATCCTTATTCAGACTTTGCCTCAAGGCACCATTGTAGCTTAACAAGTGGTAGGAAAAAGTAGGCTTGATATCAAAACGTGGGTTGATCAGAATCAGTGTGCTCTTACTTTTTTCCGTTGTACATGATTTTTTCAAGATGACATTTTTTTTTTAAATTTAAAAAGCAATTATTGGAGATTTTTTAAACTGCCCCGTCTTTTTTTTTTAATGTATAATTAAATACTTGAAAAAGAGGTGTTTGTTGTAGGTGAGCTCCTTGTATATACAGTAACGTCACAATGCTGCTAGTATTAATTATTTGAAATCTCTGTAGAAGCTCATCATAATGTACACACCCCGGCAGTCGCCCCTGTGGCCTTTTCAAAATTCCCCCCGGGGAATTCTGTAGTTGTGTAATAGTTTTGATTTCAGTGTTCATGCAGTCAAACCTGCAGGTGGATGTTTGGAGGAGGCGGGGCTAAAATTTTGAGTGTAGACATGTCGTAGCACTGACAGAACAGGAATTCAGATGATGTTTGTCAGGAGAAAGTGAGGATGACACATGTGAGAAGATTGGAGTAGACTGTTTTAACAAGCCCACTCACAGGCCTCCCCAGTGTGGTTAAAAGTAAAAACAGCAGGACCAATTGATAATAGCTGATTGAAACAAAGTGTGCAGGATGAATACAGATTAGTCAAACAGCTAGCAGGTTAGTCAAAGTGTTACAGGCTGACTGAAATGTGGATGTGTGTCCCACACTGCAGACAAGGTCAGAGTCAGTGAGTGTGTAATGAATGTGCAGAGAGTGAGCTGCAGCCATTATCTTTGTCTCTGCTGGCCGAGCGCGCTCTGACCTGACATTCTAACAAATGGAGGGGAAAACTCTGCCTGAGATGTAAATCCTCTCTGTGAATGCTGCAGTCTCTTCAGAAAGTGAGGCGCTGACCCGTGACGTCCACAAAGATCTGACATGACAGGAACGGAGGGATTAGAGAGATGGAGGGATGGAGAAGGAGAGAGGAGGGGGAGGGGCAAGCTGCAGCAGGACGGCTGAGTAAAAGAGAATTATGATGGTGGAGGATAAATGAGATGTCAAGACACAGACATAAAACTGTCAGAGGGATCTGCAGGGCTGTGTGCAGGGAGAGACATGCAGGAGAGAGTGTGCCTGAGAGTGAGAGAGTGTGTGACTGCCGGGCAGAGAGAATGAGAGAAGAGAGTGTGTGAAGGCGGGAGAGAGTGTGTGAAGGCCGGACATAGAGAAGAGAGTGTGTGAAGGCAGGAGAGAGAGAGGAGAGTGTGTGATGGCAGGACAGAGAGAAGAGAGTGTGTGAAGGCAGGAGAGAGTGTGTGAGAGGGGGGGAAAGGTATGTGAAGAAGGGAGAATATGTGTGAGCAGGAAAAGTGTGTGAAGAAAGGAGAATATGTGTGAGCAGGAAAAGTGTGTGAAGAAAGGAGAATATGTGTGAGCAGGAAAGGTGTGTGAAGAAGGGAGAATATGTGTGAGCAGGAAAGGTGTGTGAAGAAGGGAGAATATGTGTGAGCAGGAAAAGTGTGTGAAGACAGAAGAGTGTGTGAGAGGAGGAAGAGAGTGTGTGAAGGCAGGAGAGAGAGTGTGAGGGGGGGAAAGGTGTGTGAAGAAGGGAGAATATGTGTGAGCAGGAAAAGTGTGTGAAGACAGAAGAGTGTGTGAGAGGAGGAAGAGAGTGTGTGAAGGCAGGAGAGAGAGTGTGAGAGGGGGGGAAAGGTGTGTGAAGAAGGGAGAATATGTGTGAGCAGGAAAGGTGTGTGAAGAAGGGAGAATATGTGTGAGCAGGAAAAGTGTGTGAAGAAGGGAGAATATGTGTGAGCAGGAAAAGTGTGTGAAGAAAGGAGAATATGTGGGAGCAGGAAAGGTGTGTGAAGAAGGGAGAATATGTGTGAGCAGGAAAAGTGTGTGAAGACAGAAGAGTGTGTGAGAGGAGGAAGAGAGTGTGTGAAGGCAGGAGAGAGAGTGTGAGCAGGGAAAGGTGTGTGAAGAAGGGAGAATATGTGTGAGCAGGAAAAGTGTGTGAAGAAAGGAGAATATGTGGGAGCAGGAAAGGTGTGTGAAGAAGGGAGAATATGTGTGAGCAGGAAAAGTGTGTGAAGAAGGGAAAATGTGTGTGAGCAGGAAAAGTGTGTGAAGAAGGGAAAATGTGTGTGAGAGGAGGAAAAAGTGTGCGAAGACAGAGGAGACTGTGTGAGAGGAGGAAAAAAGTGTGTGAGAGGAGGGAAAAGTGTGTGAAAGCAGGAGATAGTGTGTGTGAGGAGAAAAAATTGTGTGAAGTCAGAAGAGAGTGTGTAAGAGGAGGTAAAAGTGTGTGAGAGGAGGGAAAAGAGTGTGTGAAGGCAGGAGAGAGTGTGTGAGGGGGGGGGAAGGTGTGTGAAGGCTAGGCAGAGTGTGTGAGGAGAAAAAAGTGTGTGAAGTCAGAAGAGAGTGTGTAAGAGGAGGTAAAAGTGTATGAGAAGAGGGAAAAGTGTGCGAAGACAGAGGAGACTGTGTGAGAGGAGTAAAAAGTGTGTGAGAGGAGGGAAAAGTGTGTGAAGGCGAGAGAGAGTGTGTAAAGAGGAAAAAGTGTGTGAAGGCAGGAGAGAGTGTGAGAGAGGAGGGAAAAGGATGGTCTATTGCAGCAGACAGACAGAAATCAGCCATGTTAGGTACAATCAGCCTAAAGGCATCCTTCCTCATGTGGGGTATGAGAGCAGACACTTGGATTGGTTAGATTCATAGTACACCTGCAAAAACACATCTTTGAGTATTCTAGGGATTAGGACTGTTGTATGAGGAAAACAGTTTATGCTTGTTTCCATTCATTATAAATGGAGGTGATACAAAGAGGAAGCAGCAGACAGACTGTAAACTGAACTGGAGCAGTTTACTAAGAGATGGTTCGGTACATTTTAAAACTGAATTTTTTTAATGAATTCAAATGTAACATTAAAGCGCCTTTCATTTCTAATTAAATGATCATTGTTACTTATGGACCGTTCTTTTAACTGTTTTCATTCAGTTATATAACTTACAAACTAGCAGAAGCAGCTTTATACTTCAAAATAAAAGCATGGTTTAGCAACGTTTAGAATAATGCAACCAAAATCCAAGACAGAAAAATATCAAAATAAAAGCATGCCGAACATGATATATCACAAATTTGATCATAATCAGAAATAGATGATGAAGCTCCACTTTTTTCTTGCCTTTTCTTAATTTTACTTAGGCTACTGTGTTGTTTTGAATTTCAAGTTTTCCAAAGATATCACAATCATCATTAAATTTTATGGCGACATTAATCATGAGGTAAAAATCTGATATCCTGACAACTCTACAATGAACTTAATCCAACCTCTTTGCACTCCGCCTCTGCTTATTGTTCAGAATGCAGTCAGATTTGGTTTATTTTGCTCCATGCATTTTAATTAAGGTTATTTAAGAGACTCCAGAGATGGAGAAAGGTGGGATTCTCCTGCTTGAGTTTACGCCGAGCTTCATTTGGCAAAATACCAATGAGATGAGAGGTAGACGATGATGATAAGACTATGAAAGCAAAACAAAGTTATCCAAAATTTAATTTTTAACTAATTAATGACTTTGATAATGCAGCAACTCAGTCAGTACTTCAGTTACTTTTTGATAGGTGAAACTCATCTTTAAAAGTAATGTTCGGTATAGCTGTCCCAACACCGGGTACGATGATTATGATGCTGATGGTGATGAAGGTTGAGAGAGCTGTGGTGCTGCTGCTGCTGCCGTGAAGGGACCAGCCCCTTCTGTCAGCATGTGAGTGATTAATGACCTGGAAATGTCTCCTTTTTTTTCATCTGATTAAATAAAACCGAATGATTTTTCATTTTATAATAAAGTGACTCCACCGGGTTGAGAACACATCCTGACATGCATGAGAAACTCGGCACTGTGTGGATTGGGAGAGTAAACACCCATGAATGCTTCAATGGCTTCATGGATTGGCTGTGTGTGTGTGTTGTGGTGTGTGTGTTCATGTGTGTGTTACTCCCTGAAAGTGCTGCAGGTGTCATGAAGCAGAAAACAGTTTGTCACCGTTCTTTGACACTCAGACCTGCTGCCTGAAGAAGAAGAAGAAGAAGAAACTTTCTTGCAGTCTGATTGTTTACTGGAGCATTGTTCTGTTTGACACTCTTCATTTTCTGTGTCTGTACTGAAGTGTATAGCAAAGAAGATTATGACATACTCTGCTTTTGCTGCTGTACGTCTTTGTCTTTTATATAGACTGTGAAAAACTGTAACTGCAAGGTCTCACCTAAGCTAATTTAGCCCCTAAACTTAAAGGGATATTCTGGCGTAAAAATAAGTTGGGGTCAAACACACCGTAACACCGAATTAGACACCCCATAGAGAGATGAATGTTGCCGACCGCTTGCTTCTCTAGTTATACCAACTTTTGTAATGACTGCAGGTAGCAATACAGAGAGCCACGCGCTTGACCAAAGCGCAACTCTATAGCCACAAATAATGCTCAAAGCAGCACCTAACTTCATCAACAGTACATTTAGGGTCCCAGCCATAGTACTAGCCACCAAACATCTCTTTAGCTTTGCCTGATTTCTTTAGCAAAGAGACTAAACACAACTCACCTACTCTCTTCCAGCATCGACTACAGCGGGGGGATGCAGTTCAAGGAAGAACATTTATGATCATTTTTTCATGGAAATGCAATCAGACCAAGACGCTAAGGCAGAAGAACTACTGCGTCTGTAGTGCAAAATTGTTAATATGGTGATTATTACGTCAAGGAAATGAAAAAGTAATGATCATAGATGTTTTTCCTTGAGCTGCGTCCCCCGCTGCGGTCGATGGACTTGCCTGGAGGTCTCCAAACAAGCAGCTGCTGGAAGAGAGTAGGTGAGTTGTGTTTAGTCTCTTTGCTAAAGAAATCAGGCAAAGTTAAAAAGATGTTTGGTGGCTAAAACTATGGCTTGGACCCTATATGTACTGTTGATGAAGTTAGGTGCTGTTCTGAGCATTATTTATGACTATCGAGTGGCGTTTTGGTTGAGTGTCTGGCTCTCTGTTTTGCTATCTCGGCCATAACTAAAGTTGGTATACCTAGAGAAGCAAGTGGTCGGCAATATTCATCTCTCGAGGGAGTGTCTAAATCGGTGTTACGGTGTGTTTGACCCTAACTTAATTTTACGCCGGAATGTCCCTTTAACCTCGGGACTGTGGTTGTGCTGCTGGAGCCCTCTGGAGATTTCCCATGCAAATGTCAGACAAATAATTTAGCTCGCTGTGCGCTTTATTGGACCAACAGACCATACAAGAAATCTGCTGCACAGTTTTCCACTCAGACACATTATAATATTATTTATGAGTTATTTGTGGCAGTTCCTGAATTTTTCTGTATTTTCCACCGCGGGATTTGTTGCGGTAAAAGCAGATGACAGCAAGGAATGCTTCCTTGGGTTTGAGCGTCTACACTTCCAGCAGCTCTGTGAGCTGATGTGGAAAAATGGGGCGCAGGAGACAACTTTGTTGTGTGTCTTTATTGAAGATGGTTCCTTTCTTTTCCTCCTCCTCCTCCTCCTTCTCGGTGGTGAAAGAACAGCGAGCTTCCTGGCAGTATCGATCAAACGGCATGCATCAGTGCACTCTAAGGAGAAGGTCTCCCTTCATCAACATCAAACCATCGGAGTGGAAAAACTGACGTGTCCAAATGATGTTTACACTTCTGCTCTGATGTCTCTCTGAGTGATACAGCCGCCGTCTCTCCCTCCGCACACCAAAGATTAATGATCCTGTGCCGCTGCAGCCCAATAACATTATGTGACATTTACAGAGGGCTAAAAAGCAAAGGCTTAAACACAGCAATTTACAAAGGTCGGCCATTTGTGAGTTCACGGGAATACGGCTCAGAGAGAGAGGAAGAAACAGCGTTTTAAAGATTTTTCTTCATGTGTCAGTGTAGGATCTGTGAGAGTAAAAAAGACCCTCTTTCACTCGCTGTTACACATTCATGGTGGGCTGTGGTACATTCATATTCTTAAGAAATAATTAACCTAAAAATACAATATTTCTACTGCATTAAACTGGCATTTACAATACAAGCAGGTAATGATCACAGAGATACGGCAAAGATTTCTACCAGCAAAGACTTTTAAATAGTTCAAAGTAAAATTTGTATGTTTGTTTTTCCATGTGTTTAAACTTTTGTGAGAACATCTACAGAAGAGTTTCTGATTTCATGTGACAAAAACCTCTAAAAAAAAACATTAGTAAACACTATGAAAGATATTTTCGATATGTCTCTTGATGATTTTGGAGAACACAGAACTAAAGATTGGTTGTTCACCAGTTTTTCAGAGAGAAAAAAGAGTAAGAGAGAAGAGGAAAACAGCACAGGAACTAGTGAGCGATGCTAAAAATAAAAGAGACATCCAACAAATTGAAGAAAACAGACACAAAGCTGCCGCAAAACCACAATGCAGGATGGGTTATGGCTGGCTGAGTGAAAAGAAAATGTTCACAGAAAAGTTAGAGAAAAGGGACCTGGTGCAGGTGCTTATTTAAGAGCCCCCTCCTCTACATCAGGGTTCCTGTTATCCTGCCAGGACATGATTTCACATGACCACCGGCTGACCAGATATCACCTTTACTCATCACATAAACCTTTCTACATATGCATAGACACCCTTCTGGTAATTTTACAGGTTGAGCTACATGTGTGAACACAAAGAACTAAGATTTCTTACCCTGACTTTACTTTTTTTTCCTCCTGCTGCATAAGCAGAACTGTAACACATTACAGGGCTGTTGTTATGTGTGGAGTTTTGTGAAAAGTAGTTATTTTCA